CAAATTGTCAAGAAGAAAATTGGTCTCTTACCAAATTTCAAAAAGTCAAAAGCATTTTTTTGTGTAGAGTAGATATCTAGGAAACAGTACATAATATTTAATACATTTACAATAGAAAAAAAGCAAATTTATTAAAATATTTTAAACGCAGTATTATATAAGTGTTATCTCATTTTTGCCATTCCCCTTCTATTTTCTGGCTATAGCCACCCTAAAATCATGGACTAGCAATCTTAAGCCTGAGAATTCCTTGAAATTGAATTAATTGTGTAAAGTCTGAAGCAGGAAATTGAGGCAAATTACAGTTTTGGTGATACATCTTTGTAGTTTACCAGATTTTCATAAGATATACTTCAATCTTTCTTAATTGCCATAAAACGTAACTCTATGGGTAGTACAAAGCTCTTCTTTATCTAAGCATTAATATAAAATATTGGACATTTCACCATTAAACATAAAATTCCTGAATGTGCTGAGCATGCAATTTTTAGTGGGTTAATATTTTATCAAATACTTTTATTTACTGAAAAATTGGATCAAAAACTATTGATAGCTATTAATGATTTGATTTCATTCAGGAGACAAACTAAAAAGCAGTTCTGCTAAGAAACATTTAACATGAATAGTTACTGTCTACAATGAGAGGTAGCATCATTTCTTGACTTTTTGGTGAAGATCAAGTGTATAATAAGAGGTAGAATAATGAAAGATTGATCAGAAGTTAGTAAAGATGACTCTACAGAAGAAAGAGCAGATAAAAAGACAAACATTATCCTTAAAGATAAAACATTTCATCAACAAAGATCTTGTGTCTTTTACTGTACTCTGCCTTTTTTTTAACTGTACTATATCCCTAGCATTACCCTCAATTTATCCTGAAACAGATCTCCCTAAGTTACTGATTTTCCAGGGCTACAGTCAAACACAGTCCTGCTTCTGCCTTCCAGAGTGGTGGGACTACAGGTGTGCACCATCACACATGGCTTCGAATAGTATTATTAGTTTTATTATTTAAAGTACTATTTAGTTGTGGTAATAAGAGAATATATTCAGTGGACAGTCAATTCATCAGCACTTATTGATGTTTATTGTGAAACTTCCTATTTTTTAAATAAGTATATATTATTGGTTGATCCAGTATCTTACATTTACCCATTGCAATAAACTTATTAGGCGTGTTATTCATATTTTAAAATTACTAATTCTATTTCATGGGTTAGTTTGTGAAATATTTAAAAATATAATAGTACATATATATAGTATGTGAATCCAATGGTTTGTCTATTTTTTGACTTGTAATAGTACCTACTTACGATACATATATATTGTACTTATAGAAAATCAGTATATGCATATATTTTAATTCTTTTTTTCCTTCCCTTCACTCCCTTTCATTCTTTCAGCATTTATTTATATTATAAGAACTTTTGAAGTTAGTTATAATAAAAACAGATTGAAAACCAAATTAATAGGCCAAAGAACATACAAAACATGTAAAACAACTTAACTTTACTAAACAAGGTACACTTTTAGATGTGTTTTGATACTACATTTTTAAATTTATTATGGTCCTAATTATGCCTTGTTTGGCGGTGTTTCTATTTGTAGTTAAAGAGTCTCCATGTAAATACTGATGCATTTCACATTGATAACTATTTCATTTAATATTAGCATTGTTCCACAAGCTTTGTTGATTAGAATGATGACCTTTAACAGTTAAGATCTGATTTCCCCCTTCCTGTCAACCATCAGGCATCTGCTGGCCCAAGTGAAGTTAGAAAAAGGTAACTTCAAATTCCAAAAAACTAACCTAGGCAACTCCGAGCATAGTAACCCACATGGGTACAACAAGGTGATAGCAGCGCAAAGCTTTTTTAGTAGGTGTCTAGCGTTGACACCTACAATGTCACTTGTTTTTAAGTCAACCAAGAGCAAGTGAAGCATAATGTTTTATAGGTTTATCTTCCACAACATCAAGGGATGAACATTTATCATGAAGGGATTGTGGTTCTGTTTTGCAGACTGCCAGACATCTGAGGTGATTCTAGGGAAGTGCTCAAAGTATTGCATGGCCTGATATTTTCCTCAGTAAAATTAACGTATATCATTATTTTAATAAGTCTGGGGAAATGGAAATATGTGATAAACTTAACAATAACAAAGCATATTTGATACTTGTTTCTATATCAGTTTTAGTAATCATCCTAAAACATGGGAAACAACACAGATAATCTTGCAAGGTGAATATACAGCAAAGTGTGGTACATCTATCTATATGTGAAATTCTGCTCAGCCATGAAAAGCAACAGCATTGGAGAACCTCACAGATATTATGCAGGGTGAAAAAAGGGAAACCCCCGCTATACCACATATTCTGCTAATTATGTAACATTCTGAAAAAGGCAAATATGTAAGGACAGAGAACAGACAAAAGTGTGCCTGCACCGAGACATGAGGGTTTTTCAACAAATGGGAAACTTGGACTGTTTTTGTCTTTTATATCTGCTCTGTGTCCTGAACATGGTAGAGGATACATGTGTTAGACTTTTGCTAAAACTCACATAGCTATATATCATACTTAATTCTTTTAACACTGTTTGTGTTAGAATATAATTTTCAGAAAAATAGATATAAGAAATACTCTCTATGATGACACAAAAAATCACTATTGTGTTTATTGGTGAAATATGAGCAAATTATCCATTTAAAAAGATTATTAGCTATTGAAATTACTTGACATTTTGAATTTTCAAGTCATTAAATTGTGTATGCCAACACAAATAAAAAATTATAAAGAATTAAAATTAAAAAATAAAATAATCATTATAATTATATGCATTTAACAAAATTTTCTGTCTGTAAAAGACAAGAGAATGAGAACAAATCACTAGGCACATGTGATTATTTAGTACATGCAGCCTATAACTTAGAAAAAAAATGTACCTCACTGTCATGACATTAACCAGTAACCAAATATCATTACAAAGTTAAGACCATTTAATTGAGCACCTAGCTACATATTCGTTTATACATTTTCCAGCTGGATTCAGACTATATTTAGATGGCGTCTTCCTGCTAATGTTTCATCTGAATTTTGGATCACACCTCCCTTTGTGACTGGATTACTGTTCTATCTCACCACTGGCATCTTCATGCTGGTTTACATAAATCTTTTAACATCTCAAAATCTCATTTTCCTCGTGTAAAAAATACTATCACATGAGGGTGTATATTGGCTCTTTCTACTCTAATGGCTATTACAGATGACCACTTTTTATTTCATACTGCATATCTTACTAAAATTTCCACAAAAGAAAAGCATGGAAAAATAGTGTATGACAATGAAAGAGCAAGAAAGCTTAATATAAATTTTAACTTGTGCTTTTAAAAGAATTCTTTCTGAAAATGAACCATGAATGGCATTCGTTTTCTTTTCTGATTTTATTTTTCCCCCAAACTGAGAATTGAACACAAGTCTTCCTTACTTAAGACTCTCTTTTTTAGACTCCCTTCTTTTTAGCACTTTTTTAAAATTTTGAGACAAGGTCTCACTAAGTTGTTAAATTTCTCTGACTGGGCTCAAATTTGTAATCCTACTGCCTCAGCCCTCCAGAGTGCTGGAATTACAGTTGTATCACCATATCTGGCTAGAATTTCATAATTTCTAAAAATATACAGGATTCTATTTTACTGAAGACTAAGCAACATGGAACACAAAACACATGACCCTGTTTACCTCTTTGTACTCCAGTACATAAATCTAAATTGTCTTAAAAATTTTCACCTATTTTGCTAAATATTTTTATATCTGTCAAAGCAGTAAATATTAGTACTATATACAAGTAACTAAATTTCTTACATTAACTGTATGGTGGTCATCAATTAGTTGTTATTCTACAATTCTCATGTGAAAACAGGTTTTTTTCTCTGTCATAAAATCCAGGAACTTGATGATATAAATGATAATTTAAATTTTCTAGTAATACAATCAGCTGAAACACTATCCTCAGTCATGATGTGATATTATTCCATATTCAAATTAAAATACACTGTGGAATATATCTGAAACAACATAAAAAAAAACAGAAAGGATGTAGCCAATTGTTCATGTCTATAAATACAGAAATCCAGATAGCTGAGGTAGGATGATTTCAAGTTTGACTCCAACTCAAGCAAATTAAGAACTTAAGTAGACCCTTTCTCAAAATTTAAAATTTAAAAATATCTTGAAAATAGTTCAGTGTGAATATCTTGGGTATATTTCTGTAATTTCTAATACAAACATGTATCTAATCATAATAATTGCATCCCAAGAAATCTTGAACTCAAAACTAACAATATAGATCAGATAACTGAAGTAAACAGCTTCAAAATTCAGATGATTTTTTTAAAAGCAGTATTTTTATATTGGGATGTATCTTTGAATTATGCATTTAAGGTAATGTTCAATAGTCTTCTTTTATTCAGCATTTCTAAAATGTTGGCAAGTCTACATTAGAAATTTTCTTTTCTATGGGTAGAAATATGATAATACCTTGGTTTATGAAGGCTTTTGTTCATAAATGATTCAGTTTGCAAACAGAAGCGTTTGGCATAATTTTACTTCCATTTGTGAACACATCAGGTGATGAACACAACAGCCTCCATCTTCCCTGCACAAACATGACCATAGCCTTCTTGCCCAGAGCTCTAGAATGAATTCAGTTCATGGACATAGGTACTACTGTACAAAGTTTTCTTTTTAATAACTATTTTTCATATGTATGCATATATACAAATATCCAGTGTATTATAGGTTTTTCCTATTGAAATCTTTAAAAAATTAATGATGATCCAGAGTGACATCCTTCCATGTATATAAGCATATATAACTATAATGTACTGCTAACATTGCAATGTATTTGGTTAGGGCTTATTCCAAACACATGTCTATCAAATTCATAAATAAATACAATGAAAGTCTATTGGGAGACTACAAATTCATAATATAAAAGAATTTCTTATGAACTATTTTTCCTGAAGAATATGCCGAAATGACCTGAAATGCTTTTCAAACCTAAAGATTGCATACCTTTGGGTCTGGACCTCAGCCACCACACCACTGAAAAAAAAGCTTGTCTCAGTTTCCTGTTTCCCAGAATCAAAACAAGTGAGTGTCCTGAAGGAACAGCGATTCCAACAGCGTGTTCGAAAAAAATGATATGGTCTTTCTCCAGAAATTTAAAGCTTGTAATCTGCATGATAAGACAGAATAAGTAGATGGCATAAAGTAGGAGGAAGCTGATCACAGTTTGCATGGCTTTTCTGTGGGCCGTAGTGCTGGCATTTCTGGATCCCTTAGCATTGTGTTGCATCTTCTTCAGATGTTTCCACAGGGAGAAGATGAGCAGAAGACAAGCTATTAAAGACATGGTGAAGGGTATCAGCATGAACATAGAGCTGATGGATAAAAGAGCTCCAGGAAATTGTTTAAAATTCTTCAAATTGAAACTATAAGATACATTTCTTTTAGATTCATCATGCCAGACATTCATTTCTATATGAATTGCTATGATATTGAACAGTAAGAAAAAAAGAGACATCAAGAAATTCATTAAAACCACTTTTTAAACTCTCCACTTTAGATAAAGAAACATAGAGTTAGCAAAATTGGCTATCTTGAGAAAATAAAAGAGGGTGAGGCACATAGCAAACCAGATGCTAAAATGATTTGTAACAACCCAAGTAAAAGTAATCATTCTGAACACTTTTTCTGTCTCCACCAACCCTGGATATATCATAAATAATGTTGCATGTGTCTGTACTGAGCAGAGAAGACCAATTCTGGAGATCACCAAAGAAGTGAGGATTTGATCAACCAAAGAGATATTTCTTCTCTTGATCCAGTCCATGTAGTTCACCAGTGCTATGAAGACATGTACCACAATTCCAATTATGAATTCAACAGCTAAAATTATTGTAAAGATGAATTTCAAAATACCAACCATTTTCTGGAAGAGAATACAGCAATTTCAAGTATCACTGTTGAAAATCTATTACAGCTTTATTTACAAATGCTTTGTATATTCATTTTTTTAAAAAATTAAAATTATTCTCCTTTAGAAAATCACGTATACGGTGCCAATCCAAGAACCATCAAGAGAATGTAAAAATTATATTCACATTGTCTTCATAAAAATCATGAATTTTAATAGACAGGCCAGCTGAGTTTGATCCAGATCCTGTGTGACTTGCACATAATACAATGGAGTATTTTGTAGTTGACCATGAAGGAAATGCTGAAATCTTATATGCCAACATGCAAACAAAGATATACTTATTTGCATACCTTTCATTTTTGCCTAATCTATGTATTTCAGCCTGGCAACATGACTTCTGATGAAATCCTGTTAGAAAATTATAAGGCATACACTGGGCAACAAAATATAAGCTACTATATGGGATGTCCTAAATACTGAGGATTTATAGAAATTTCTATGTTAGGTACTAGAAATGTAGACTCCTCTGAGTAGTAGGAAGGTAATAGGAATGTAGGATCCTCCGAGTACACTGCCCTTCCTAAAATATGCCAGAGTTGCACAGTAATCTCTTAGATATCATTCTTACTAAAACATTGGGTCCTAAGTTTAATATTATCATTTTACTTTTTAATAGTGCCTGAACACACATGTGCATGTATACACACACACACACATTCAGATGAATTTATTCTTTGTTGCCATCCACACCAAATAATCAGATAATCAGATTTTTCACTGATTTCACATTTATTATGAATCTAACACCTATTTAATGGATTCATAGTAGTTAACACATTGTTTCAAAAATACTCCAAAATTGATCATCTAAAGTGTAGATATTCATTTAGCTTTAAATATATTTTTCTGTGCATCTAAATGAGGTAGAAATCTTTTTGTGGCAACCTTAAGCAATCACTGAAGTGAGTGAATTTATCCATACAGAAAGAATATTCCTCATTCTCTGCCTCTTTCCCAATAAGGAACATTATCTGTCAGAACCAAATATTTTTAGAATGTATCTATCTCCTTCCACTTACTACCAGTGTCTTCTCTATGATCATCGCTTCAACCAGTAAGATAAAAGGAGGATGGTGCTCTTTCTTGGTCATTGTCTTGGTTGCTTTCTCTTGTTGCTGGGACAAAATACTCAGTGCCCAAAGTGAAAGAAGGAAAGGTTTATTTAGGTCACAGTTTGTGGAGGTTTCAGTTCATAATCAGCTGGATCAAGGCAAGACAGCATGGCAGAGACGCACCAATTCAAGGTGGCAGAAGACAGCAAAAGCAACAAGAGCAAAAGAGGATAGAGCAAGCCTCCTTTCCTTTTTTATATCTTAATCAGTCTACCACCTCTTAGAATGGGTGTGATACACTATCTTCATGCTTTCCTCTAGCTTGGGCTCAGGATGTTTACAAATGAGGACCATGGTCCCCTGCTGAGTCACTTAAACTTGTAAACTTCTCAAGTTGACACAATGTTTCAACCATTACAATTACCCCTTTGTCAACTTGGCACCCAGACACATTTCTTCAAACTGGTCTCCAGGTATAGAGATGGTTTATTCGTATCATTTCACAACTTGAATTTTATAACACAGGTTTAGTGATCCTTAAAAACCAGTATTAATTCTATCAACATTATATTTACATTAGGACCATAACATTTTGCCTCTGGACCCCCAAAGACTCATGCACATTCCTTAGGTAAAAGACATTTATTCCATCTACAAGTCTCCAATGTCTTAACAGTTTTAGCATTGCTGAAAAGACCAACTCTCAAGTCTTCCTTGAGGTTTAAGCAAACTTCTGGTTAAGCAAGACTTTGTATAAATAAAAACAAAGGCAAACACTTTCAACATTCAATGGCACATGATATACATTTGCATTCTAAAAGTTACGAACAGGGGAATACAAAGGATTGGGACCAAAGCAAGTCCAAAATATTCGATCCCAGTACCGATAAAAAAAAAAAAAACCTAAAAAAATGTCCAAAATAAAGTAAGGCAAACATTAAGTTTTGTAATTCTATGTGCATCATTTGAAGCAATCTGTGGCAAATCATGAGCTCCAAAGGGCATGAGTGACTCCACCCCTATAGCACTTCTGGTGTTTGTAGCTCCCACAGTTTCTCTCTTGGGCTAGCTTTGTCTCCTCCTTGTAAGTTTCTTTAGACAATGCATACTTGGCTTTTCCAACTTCTGGGGTCTCCACTCCATCTTTGGCTTCACACCCAAGAGTTTCACATGCTACCTTTTTTGGGGCACACTGCCTGGTCTCCCAGGTCTTCTGAAATTGGAGTGGATGCCTTCTAAAATGATAACTCTTATATTCTGCATGCAGCTAAAACTAGCATGACATGGATAATCTTGAGTGTAGGGAGCCGAGTGACAGGCATTGCTGCCTAGATGTCTCTCTCTCTCTCTCCTATGGGCACTGCGTCTGCCTACATTAACCATAATCCTCTTCTGCTTATGTCACTTATCCGGATGTGATGGTAACCCTGTTGTATTCATCTGTTTAACCTCTTCCTGTCCCAGCTCCCGCCCTTAGCCTATAAAAGGTGTGATTATTTTCTCAATAAACCGGAGGCTTGATTGGGTCACATCATCTTGCCTTCGTCTCTTTTTGTCTCCCCCATGTCTTTTATTTAATCCCCGTTTCCCCTCCAGGAGCTCTGAACTTGTTGATCTGCAGGCCGGATCAAGTGGCGCCCAACGTGGGGCTCCTGGCATGGAGAAGTTAACGAGGGAGCCGTTCGAGAGACAGCCGGCTTAAACCGAAAGTGAAAGCAAATTGAACCAGAGACCTCGGCCGAGGAATGAGTAAACTGAATCAAGGATTAAAGCTTAAAGCAACAGGACATTAAATCAAGTGCCGAGACCTGCGCAGACGACTACCCGACGTCCTGCCCGAGTCACGGTGAGTGAACGGCAACCCCATTTCCCTTTCCCGACATGGGTCAAGTATTGAGCGAACACGAAGTGTTCGTCGGAGGCCTTATAAAGGCATTAAAGACAAGAGAGATAAGGGTTGAAAAAAAAGAATTATTACAGTATTTTCAGTTTATTCATAAGGTTTGCCCTTGGTTCCCCCTAGAGGGTTCTATAGATACCAAGAGGTGGAATACAGTAAGAGATGTTTTAAAAGATTATTATAGAGTTTTCGGTCCAAAAAAGGTTCCTGTGACCACCTTTACATATTGGAATTTAATTTCTGAGCTGCTTGCCCAGAGGCATGCAGACCCTCAGGTTGAGGAGACAGTTGCACTGGGTGAGGCTGCCTTGCGCGACTCCATTAAATCTACCTCAAAACTGTCCTCAGAAAAATCTGAAGCCTCTGATTTCTCAGATGCAGAGAATGATGGCCTGTTAGAGGTCCTCATATATGGTGATCTGCCACCACTTCCACTTGTTGACATGATCAGCAGGTCCGAGGATGGCAGCCCGCTACTTCCTGTGCCTCCATGGCAAATTGGGGATTCATATAAGCCTTTAGAAACAACCTTAACTCTGAAAAGCTTGCAGCTGCAAGGCAGCTGGTGCAGGACCTGTTAGATGCAGGCCACATTGTTCCTAGTAATTCCCCTTGGAACACACCTATCTTTGTTATCCGGAAAAGGTCAGGAAAGTGGAGGCTGCTACAAGACTTTAGGGCGATAAATAAGACAATGGTCTTAATGGGGCCCCTACAGCCAGGCCTCCCCTCACCCAGTGCCATTCCTTTAGGATTTTTTAAAATTGTCATAGATCTTAAAGATTGCTTTTTCTCTATTCCTTTATACTTCACGACTTCCAAAAACTATTGGGAGACATTAATTGGCTCATACCATTTTAAAAAACTAACTAAACATGATTTACAGCCCCTTTATGCGCTGCTTCAGGGAGACATAGATCCAGCTTCCCCCCGAGAGCTTACACCTGATGCAAGGAGAGCGCTCAGTAAAGTAGAAGAGGCTATTGCTCAACAAACTGTTTCCTTTATGGACTACAATGAGCCTTTACAGTTTCTCATTTTTAATACAAAGCTTTGCCCTACAGCAGTGTTCTGGCAACAAGCTCCCCTCATGTGGGTCCATTTACCAGTCTCTCCAAAAAGAACACTTTTGCCTTATTTCCAAGCTGTCTCAGACCTAATAATCCAGGGTAGAAAGCAGGGAAAATGTTACTTTGGCAAAGAACCAGACATTATCATTCAACCTTTTACAAAAGACCAAATAGATTGGCTACTTCAGAGTACGGAAGTATGGCCTATTGCCTTAGCTTCCTATTCAGGGACTATTGACAATCATTACCCTCCAAATAAGCTAGTTGACTTTGCTAGTCGTCACTCATTTATATTCCCTAAAGTCACAGCTTCACAACCCCTTCCAGGTGCCCTGGTTTTATTCACTGATGGCTCATCCTCTGGAAGGGCTGCTTATGTATCTCAAGACAATGTTTCTACCCTCCAGGCAGATACTTCCTCTGCACAATTAGCAGAGTTAGAAGCTATTCTTGCAGCTTTTGCTGCTTACTCTGACCAACCATTTAATTTGTATACTGACAGTGCTTATCTTGCCCAGTCTGTTCCATTATTAGAGACTGTTGCTACTATATGTCATGCTTCCCCAGCTGCAAATCTGTTCAAACAATTACAGTGCTTCATACGGCTTTGCTGTTATAAGTTCTTTATCGGTCATCTGCGAGCTCATTCCAACCTCCCAGGGCCTCTTGCCCAAGGAAATCATTTGGCTGATGTTGCTGTACGAGCACAGGTTTTTATGGCTCAGGACTCCAAGGTGTCTGAGGCCCAACAAGCCCACCAGTTACACCACCACAATGCTCACACCCTCCGCCTTCTCTACAAAATTACCCGTGAGCAAGCCAGACAAATTGTAAAAAATTGCCCATCTTGTGCTATCCACTCACCTGTTCAACACCTAGGAGTCAACCCTAGAGGTTTAATTCCTAACGCCTTATGGCAAATGGATG